GTAAGTGGAGGCATTCCATTCAACCAAGAATTCCTACAGAATAATCATCTCTTAAAAGTTTTCCAAGAAGATGCACTAGATATGTAAAAGTCTGTAGGCCACGTCTGCTCCAGACCTAGTCCCAGCCTCAATGTCACACTTAAGCACAGAAGTTTATAGTCTCCACGGCTCATTGGTATGTGTCTTTATTATTTAAATCATCTTTTATGTTCCTCATTAAAAGTATAATTTTCTTCATATAGCATTCTATATTTTGTGTTACAGTTATCTTAGCTAATATCGATTTATGGTTATTGTGAATAGGATATTTTAAACTAGATTTTTCATTGGTAATGCTGTTCTACTTGATTTGTATTGCTGTCTAGTATTAGCCACAAATAGTTCTAATAGTTTTTCTTTTAATTCTTTTGTATTTTCTTGATACCATCATAATCTCTATAAGTAATGACAATTTAGTGTCTACCTTTATAATATTTATATCTATCCTATCTTTTTTCATATCTAAATGGTTGACTTTGTACTTTAACAAAACACTGAATAACAATGGGGGGAGTTAACAATTATTTCTGTATTCTAAACTGATTAAGACATGAGCATTTTGGAGCCACCTAATTTTCTCTCTATTCTGTGCTCTTACATCCATTTACATTCTTCCACCTGTGAGTAAATGAGTTTGCTTTCTAAAAGAGGACTGAAATGATTTGCTGCATTTGAAAGTAATCACACTTTTCTTAGGACCTTCCTAGTAATATTCCATGTTTTAGTTTTTGGCACAAACATAACAGACATTTCATACAGACTTGCTATTATGAACATTACCTAAACTGTGCTTAATACAGTAATGAACCATGAGATAATAGAAAAGTTGACATGTGTTTGCCTTTACAGAAAAGGAACCACAATGCAGTCATTTTAATAGATTCATTATCAGCTTGTGCTTCATCCAGCCCAACATTTTGCGTCCAAGTTAAATAAGCAAGGTGACAATATACGGACTTAACATACTCCTTTCCCAATTTGGAACCAGTCCATTGTTCCATGTCTGGTTCTAACTGTTGCTTCTTAACCTGCATACAGATTTCTCAGGAGGCAGATCAGGTGGTCTGGCATTCCCAGCTCTTTAAGAATTTTCCATAATTTGTTGTGATACACACAGTCAAAGACTATAGCATAGTCAATGAAGCAGAAGTAGATGTTTTTCTAGAATTCTCTTGCTTTTTCTACGATCCAACAGATGTTGGCAATGTGATCTCTGATTCTTCTGCCTTTTATAAATCCAGTTTGAGCATCTGGAAATTCTCTGTTCACATACTGTTGAAGCCTAGCTTGGAAAATTTTAAGCATTGCTTTGCTAGTGTGTGAGATGAGTGCAACTGTGAGGTAGTTTGAACATCCTTTGGCACTGCCTTTCTTAGGGATTGGAATGAAAACTGACCTTTTCCAGTCCTGTGGCCACTGCTGAGTTTTCTAAATTTGCTGGCATGATGAGTGCAGCACTTTCACATCATCACCCTTTAGGATTTGGAATAACTCAACTGGAATTCAATCACTTCCACTAACTTTGTCTGTAGTAATATTTCCTAAGACCCACTTGACTTCACACTCTAGGATGTCTGGCTCTAGGTGAGAGATCACACCACTGTGGTCATCAGGGTCATTAAGATCTTTTAAGTATAGTTCTTCTGTGTATTTTTTCCACCTCTTCTTAATATTTTCTGCTTCTGTTAGGTCCATACTATTTCTGTCCTTTACTCTGCCTATTTTTGCATGAAGTGTTCCCTCAGTATCTCTGATTTTCTTGAAGAGATCTCTAGTCTTTCCCATTCTGTTGTTTTCCTCTATTTCTTTGCCCTGAGGAAGGCTTTCTTATCTCTCCTTGCTATTCTTTGGAACTCTACATTCAGATGGATATATCTTTCCTTTTGTCCTTTGCCTTTAGCTTCTCTTCTTTTCTCAGCTATCTGTAAGGCGTCCTCAGACAACCACTCTGCCTTTTTGCATTTCATCTTCCTGGGGTTGGTTTTGATCACTGCCTCCTATACAATATTACAAACTTCTGTCCATAGTTCTTCAGACACTCTATCTATCAGGCCTGATCCCTTGAATCTATTTGTCACTTCCACTGTATAATCAAAAAGGATTTGATTTAGGTCATACCTGAATGTTCTAGTGGTTTTCCCTACTTTCTTCAATTTAAGTCTGAATTTGGCAATAAGGAGTTCATGATCTGAGCTAAAGTCAGCTCCTGGTCTTGTTTTTGCTGACTGTATAGAGCTTCTCCATGTTCAGTTGCAAAGAATAGAATCAATCTGATTTCTGTATTGACCATCTGGTGATGTCCCTGTGAGGAGTCTTCTCTTGTGTTGCTGGGAGAGGGTGTTTGCCATGACCAGTGCATTCTCTTGACAAAACTCTGTTAGCTTTTACTCTGCTTCATTTTGTACTCTAAGACCATACTTGCCTCTTACTGCAGGTATCTCTTGACTTTCTACTTTTGTATTCTAGTCCCCTATGATGAAAAGGGCATCTTTTTTTGGTGTTAATTCTAAAAGGTCTCTATAGAACCATTCAACTTCAGCTTCTTCAGCATTAGTGGTTAGGGCATAGACTTGGATTGCTGTGATATTGAATGGCTTGCCTTGGAGATGAACCAAGATCATTCTGTCATTTTTTAAATTGCACATAAGTACTGCATTTTGAACTCTTCTGTTGAACATTTCTTCTAAGGGATTGTTGCCCACAGTAGTAGATACAATGGTCATCTGAATTAAATTCGCCCATTCTGGTCCATTTTAATTCACTGATTCCTAAAATGTCGATGTTCACTCTTACCATCTCCTGTTTGACCACTTCCAATTTACCTTGATTCATGGACTTAACTTTCAGTTTCCTATGCAATATTGTTCTTTACAGAATCGAACTTTACTTCCATCCCCAGTCATATCCACAATTGGGTGTTGTTTTCACTTTGGCTTAGCCTCTTCACTCCTGGAGCTATTTCTCCAGTAGCATATTGGCCACCTACAGACCTGGGAGTTCATCTTTCAGTGTCATATATTTTATACGTCAATGTGTTAATGTAAATCCACATTAAGGAGAATGCTCTTGTCTCTCAGAAAAGTTAATTTGGAGACATACTGTCTTCTGAAGGTTGCCTCTATAAGTTGGGGCTTCCCTTATAGCTCAGATGGTAAAGAATCTGCCTGCAATGCAGGAGACCTGGGTTTGATACCTGGGTTGGGAAGATCCCCTGGAGGAGGGAATAGCTGCTGCTGCTGCTGCTAAGTCGCTTCAGTCGTGTCCGACTCTGTGCGACCCCATAGACAGCAGCCCACCAGGCTCCGCCATCCCTGGGATTCTCCAGGCAAGAACACTGGAGTGGGTTGCCATTTCCTTCTCCAATGCATGAAAGTGAAAAGTGAAAGTGAAGTCACGCAGTCGTGTCTGACTCTTAGCGACCCCATGGACTGCAGCCTACCAGGCTCCTCTGTCCATGGGATTTTCCAGGCAAGAGTACTGGAGTGGGGTGCCATTGCCTTCTCTGAGGGAATAGCTACCCTCTCCAGTATTCCCACCTGGAGAATTCCAGACAGAGGTTACAGTGCTTAGGGTTGCAAAGAGCCAGACACAACTGAATGACTAGAACTTTCTGTAGGTAGAATTGGAAAGACTCTAAAGTGTGACTGACTCATATACATTTTACAGCTAACTACCATTTTTTGGCAGTCTTATTCTTAATGATTTTATCTTTCTTTTTTTAGCTAGTCTTTATGCTTAAATGTGCTTACAGAGTCCTTCTTTAATTCTCTGTATCTAATTAGTTAGCAATCAAAAGAAAGCTGAATATGATGGTTCCCATTTCTATAGTAACCACGTCTGAAGTAATGGTTCTCCTTCATTCATCATCTTAGTTCATTTTTTTAATACTTTTTTTTCCTTCTGGTATTATATCTTTCCCAATAAACTGACTAGACATTGATTGTAACTTGCCAAATCACTTTGCTTGCTCTGTAATTTGGAGTAAAGAGCAGAGACTAAAGCATTTAGAACTTTTCTGTGGACTAGCTTTCTTGATAACTTCCAATAAAAGCTTTAGTTTGCTAAGCAGGATAGACACCTCAGTGCAAATAAACTACAACACCCACATTCCTATGAATCTGATAAAAATAATGCAGAGGTGTAGATGACTAGCTAAAGAGAATATGAAACAGTTGCATTCATTTCCTTCCCAGACTTCTCACTGGCGGAAAATATTCAGAAGTCAATAGGAGATAAGGTATTTAAAAGATATTAAAAGCTTTGTTAGCAGATTGAATTGCTTTAGATGTAGCACTAAAAGAAGTTTGGCAATTGAAATATGTATCCAAACTATGATACCTAGAAAAGGAGTGATAATGCAAATCTAGTTTCTATTCTGGAAATTTTCGCAGGTTAACCAAATGTTGAGACTGAGTCATTCAGGCTCTTCGGATCAAATTTACCACATTGTTTTTATAAGATGAAATCGGAAATAGCAAGAATCTTCATTTAAAGCCTATGGAAAGTGACACATAAATCATGCATGATGGTCCACCATTAATTAACTACTATTTCATCTCTGTCCTCACTTTTGAGCTCACTTGGGTACTGGTTTTCCTGACTGAAAGCTCAAAGGCAGTTCCACCATTTATTCTATTTTCTTTCCTCCCTGAATCTAGGTACTCTAACCAGCACTATATTTGTCAATCTGTGAAAGCACAACCTCCAGGGGATTGAAAATTTTGATCTACTTACAAGTCTGCTCTTCCTCCTTTATTCACATCCTTTTTTTCCCTGCAGGAAATAAATAGCTATTAATTTATATGCTAATCCATATAATTCCACATTTACCTTAAGATAAGGCTATGTGATATGTATTCATGATTTAATATACAAAGGATATTTTAAAATTATGAGATAATAATACACTATTTCTGGACAGTTATGCAGAGCAATTTTACAATTGTTCTTTTGTATTTAAGGTGACAACACTTGTCAACACAAGCAACAAAGGCCCATCCGGTAAAAAGAAAGGAAGGTCAAAGAAAGCCCATGTACTGGCCGCATCTGTAGAGCAAGCCACTCAGAACTTTCTGGAAAAAGGTGAACAGATTGCTAAGGAGAGTCAAGATCTCAAAGAAGAACTGGTTGCTGCCGTTGAGGATGTACGCAAACAAGGTAGGAAGAATAATATTATTTTAGAGGGATGAATATGATGCTTAAACAGTGGATTTTTTTCTAGAAAAATAAGACTACTCTTAAATAAGACTACTCAAAAGAGTAGTCTTATTTTTTTTCACCTCTATATACACTTCTCATTTTTAATTTTGCTGGAACTAGGTTTATAGGCCGGTAGAAATTTCTTTGTTGTGGCAGTTTAACACAGCTACAGACACTCCGTGTCTGCTGTTGCTCTTCAAATTGTTTTCACCTGGTTGATGAAACCAGCCTGTCATCTCAAACAGGTTTTGGGGAGGATAGGATGAGAAGCCTTTGTATTTATAAAGTCACTGAAAATTAAAGATTTGATAGATGAAGGGAGGAGAAGAATACAGTGTAAGAAAATTATTATTGCTTTTGTATGATTCCCAAATTTCTATTTTCAGTTCATGACTTTTCTCAAAAATCTCTCTATCTGGTTAACTAGCTACCAATTGATCAATTATATAGCTAGGAAGCTATCAATAATACTATTTATTTAGTATATTAAAAATTTTTAATTTTAGTAAAATACACATAAAATACATTATTATAACCATTTTAAGTGTGTAGTTTGGTCATATAAAGTATAATCATATGGTTGAGTCACTAATCTCCATAACTTTTTCACCTTGCAAAACTGAAACTCTATACCTATTAAACAACCTCCAAGTTTGCCTTTTCCCAAGCCACTGGCAATCACTATGTGAGTTTCTTTTTTGATGAGTTTTACTACTCTAGATGCATACAAGTAGAATCATAGCATTTGTCTTATTGTGGTTGGTTTATTTCACTTAGCATAAGGTCCTCGAGGTTTATGCATATTGTGGCATATGTCAAAATGCCTTTCCTTTTTAGGGCTGGATATTATTTTCTTGTATATTTATACTGTGTTTCATTTATCCACTCATCTGTTGGTGGACATTTGTGTGCCCTTAACCTTTTGCCCATTGTGAATAATCCAGCTATGAGCATGGGTATACAAATATCTCTTTATCACCATACTTCCAATTCTTTTGGATTTACATCCAGAGGTGATATTGCTAGATCATATAGTAGTTATATTTTTAATTCGTTGAGGAACTTCTCTACTGTTTTTCATAGCAGTCTTGCCATTTTATACTTCTACTAATAGTGCAGAAGTGTTCCAGTTTCTCTATATCCTTGGCAACACTTGTGATTTTCTGTGTTTTTTTTAAATTTTATAGTAGTAATCACAGTGGATGTCAGATGATATCTCATTGTGATTTTGATTTCCATTTCTCTAATGATTGACTATACTGAGCATTGTTTCGTGTGCTTGTTGGCTATATTTATATCTTCCTTGAAGAAATGTTTATTTAAGCCCATTGCCTTGTTGTTATAGAGTTATAAGAGTAGACCCTTTATCAGATATTGTTTTGCAAATATTTTCTCCCTTCCTGTGGGCTACCTTTTGACTCTATTGATTGTATCCTTTGATACACAGACATTTTAAATTTTGAAGTGGTCTTGTTCAGCAGTTTTAGTGGAAAATTCTAGGACATCATGAAATTAGAACAAACACCTACCTCCCCCTCACCTCTGTCCTCTGTTTTCTGTCTAATAAATGCCAAATTTGTTGTTATTCAGTCTCCCAGTCATGTCTGACTCTTTGCGACACCATGGACTGCAGCATACCAGGCCTCCCTGTCCTTCATCATCTCCTGAAGTTTGCCCAAGTTCATGTCCATTGCATCAGTGATGCCATCTAACCATCTCATCCTCTGATGCCCTCTTCTCCTTCTGACCTCAATCTTTCCTGGCATCGGGAACTTTTCCAATGAGTCAGCAGTTTGCATCAGATGACCAAAATACTGAAGCTTTGGCTTCAATATCAGTCCTTCCAAGGATTATTCAGGGTTCATTTCTCTTAAGATTGACTGATTTGATCTCCTTGTTGTCCAACAGACTTTCGGGAGTCTTCTTCAGCACCACAGTTCCAAGGCATCAATTCTTTGGTGCTCTGCCTTCTTTATCGTCCAGCTCTCACAGCCATACATGACCACTGGGAAAACCATAGCCTTGACTATGTGGACCTTTGTCGGCAGAGTAAAGTCTATGCTTTTCAATACACTGTCTAGGTTTGTCATCACTTTCCTGTCAAGAAGCAATCATCATCTGATTTCATGGCCATAGTCATCATCTGCAGTGATGCCACATATATGTATTCAGTTGCAGAAATCTTGGTATCATGCTTACTGCTTCCGTTTCCTTCCAAATACAATCTACCACGAAGACCTATAGATTTTTTAACTCCTAGGTACCTCTTAAATTGACCAACTTCTATTTTAGTTATTCAGAAGCACCATGTTTTACCTTCTCCAGGGTCTTTATACATTCTTCTCTCTCATAGTTAAGAAAGACTTATTCTGTACATCCCAGCTCAAAGAACACCTTCCCAGGGAACCTGTCCCTGACACTCCTGTGATACTCTTTCATGGATATTTCCTTGTCACTTTCCACTGGATAATATAATTTTTGTGAGGTGGCTTAACTGATAGCTTTGTTCTCTGCCACACTGGAAATAAATGAAGATAGAGAACACCCTGTGTCTCTTTTGCAGCCATTGATTTGCAATGCTTGGCATTCGTAAGACTTTAAGAAGTATTTGTTGATTAAATGAAGGAACAGATGATTGAATGTTCTATCACCTTTCTACTTGCAAACCAGCCACTTTTTCAATTTGCAGATGGATATTTGGTCCCTGGAAATACCAAACATCTTTCCATACCAATAATCACCCTTCTTCATACTGCCATGTGCTTCCTATTCTGTTCTTAAATCTAAATGTTAATTCTATTTACATAACACTCATATAAATTGTTTCTTTAATTCAAAGTGTTAAATTTTACATATTTCATCTAATGTGGATGGAATATATTTATATATGTGTTTTAGCAACATAATAGCTTCCAAGTTTCTAAGTGCTATTGAAAACTGGTATTCCTTCTGAATTGCAGATGGACACTTGTGTTCATGCATCTGTAGCCTGGATACTTTCTTTTTCTTTTTTTAGGTTGACTGGGAGATAATAAATTTCACAAATTTAAAGTGTGATGTTTTGATGAATTTGATAAGTTTTGGTAAATTTGAAAGTTTTGACAGATGTGTACCATGAAAATATCACCACCATCAATATAGTGAACCTCTCCTACTACAGAGGGTTTTTATTAACTGACCTCTAGGCTATTTTCTCAAAGATTTATCTTTCATCAGACAAGTTACATTTTCCTATTTAGTTCCCTTAACCATCCTTAACTTTCACTTATATTATGCTTAGAAGTGGGTTTTCACACCTTCTGTAGAAATTAATATATTAGATTTCTCAAAGCTTGTATGAAATGCTGTTTTGGGGGCATAATATAATAACCAGCATAGTTTTTGGCCAGAATGTCCTAGGAATATTAGAGTGAGAAATTATAAAGAAGTTAATTTAGGACAGCTTATCACTGTTGTTAGTCTAGAGAATATTTTAAATTTCCATTATACTAGTGATTTCCCATTACTGAGAAATTTGAATAAGGAATGATGCTTATGTATCAAGCCCAGATGTGACATGTCCTTTTCGGAACAAGGTCAAATTCAAGGAAATGTTATATTTGCAAAATAAATTTTCCTGGAAAAATACTTTGAAATTATTTTTTCTGTTTCTCCTACCTTCAGATACTCTCAAATACACTTCACATATACTTTTCGTCTCTGACAGCAGAGTCCTTGGGCTCTCCTTTCAGTTCCTGCCCACAGGCTCTCTTTTCTGCTTTCTGTTCCAACTTGGTTCTTTATTGTGTAAAATAAAGAACCCCTAAGAACCCCTAGCCTGTCTGGTTTTGCACAGATTTTCTGATTGACTATTACCCAGATTTTATTTACAAGTGAGAGGCTGAGTTGACTTTGAGAGAAAGGTAGGGAGCAAGGAGGATGGGGGAGCAAGTGAGGACTACTGTAGGAATATTTAGTCACTGAAACTTTGAAACTTAGATATCTTCTCTTGGAGAAACAAATGGAACTCTCTCCAGTATTCTTACCTGGGAAATCCCATAAACAGAGGAGCCTGGCAGACTACAGCCCATGGGGTCTCAAAAGGTTTGGACACAGTGACTAAGCAACATAAACAACAAACAGCCTTTCCTTCCAGCATAGAAATCTCTTTCTAAATTCAGAAATTGTGAAAACACTTTCCTTCTTTAATGTGGCTCTAGCATCCACACACACTTACTTATTAAAATGATACATGCTTTAGGAATTGAATCTATCGTGTATAATCTTTTTCTATTCAATTTTTTTTGCTTCTTTAAATCAAATGGTGAAAAGCATTGTCACTTTTAAAAAATATTTTCAGCCTGAGTTAAATGCCTGAAGTTTAAGTATAGTACATCTTCATTTTCATATTTTTAATATAGAATCATTTACTGTTATTCTTTCAAAGTTTCATAACACTCATGATTATAATTACTGTAATCTGGCAAGATTATATATGAAATTATCTATTTAACTATGTCATTATTGTATCTCATATAGTTAAACTTAGTGTTGAATTTTGTAATCACTAAAAATATGTATCTTTTAATCCTAAACTACATGTCAGATTTTTTTTAGGTGCTCAGTATGAGTGGTGATATTTTTGTGTGCTGAGTCACTCAGTCATGTCCAACTCTTTGTGATCCCATGAACTATAGCCTGCCAAGCTCCTTTGCCCATGCAATTCTCCAAGCAAGAATACTGGACTGGTAGACAATATTTTTGCCCTAGAATATTTCAGTAGAAGATTTTCCTATACTCTACATCACAGACTGCAAAAGAAGTATATGAGCAGCATTTCTATTAAAAATAAGTAATGAAAATAAATTACTTAAATATATATAAAAAAGAGAAATCATAGTCAAAGCCTAGAATACTGATATTTTAGACTTGGATAAAAATGGGATATTTTAGACTTGGGTAAGTATGGTTGGTCAAGG